GCATCTCCCCCAGAGCCGCCCACAGCCCTCTGTCCCCCTCCCAACAAACTCCTCTTGCTTCCTTCCACGCTAAGGCTTTGCTTTCTCATGCAAAGGTCTTTGCTTTTTCCATACAATTTTAGTTTTCTGGAGAAATGAGGGAAATTCTCATGATTTTTGATACTTTCAAAGCCGTGTTTGAGGTTTGCTTGGTTTGGTTCAGACCACCTGTTGCTGCTCCTGTTGTGAGTAATGTTTCCATTTAAGAAAATGTTTCCTATTCCTTTTGTAACTCCATTTTGGTAATTTGACAATCTCTGCTACAACAAAGCTTTCAATCCTTGCCTTGAGGCCTCTTGCAACACCTCAGAACAGCTGGGGCTGATGCTGGGGATGCCTGAGACCAAACCTGGAAATTTTGGATTTATTCATAGTTGGGAAATGCTTCTGACAGCCTCGAGCAAAACTGGAACAGGAGGAGCAGGAACAGGAGCTTGTCATTTGCATAATATTGAGGAAAAGAAAAGAAAAGAAAAGAAAACCTGCAAAGGGCAAGTGCAGCTTGTGCTCCTCCTGCTTCCAGTGTGTGAAGGAAGCCTGAGCTGCTTCCCCTTCCTTTCTTGCCTGCATTCTCCCTTGGAGTTTAAATCATTTTCCCAAAGCCACTTGTGACTAATATTTCACAGAGCAAGAACTGAAAAATCCCTCCTCACATTCCTGGCTCTCATCTTGGCTCCTTCCCATGGGATTCTCCTGCTCTGATGGCACCTCCTCTGCTCTGCACACCTGTGTGTGGACTGGGATTTTCTCTTGATTTGGGGAGTTTGTGTTTCCCTTCTTTATTTTAAGCACAAATTCATGTTTCTTTGTGCTGGTACTGAAATTACTTGAGGTGGTGAGAGGAGTGTGGAGAAGGCAGCAGAACCACGAGATTGCTTCTGTGCAGTGATGGAAAGAGAAGTTGCAGGTGCGGGGTCACTCAAAGGGTTAAATCTGGCTCTGAGGAGTGAATTGTGCAGCTCTGGGAATTGAGAAGGGTTTTCCTTTGGGGTGAATGATCTGACGTGGGTTTGAGTGAGGAATAACCCAAGGAGGGGGAGAGCAGAGATGCTTTTTGTGCAGGCTCTGCCTGCTCCCTGCGCTGGAACTTGGGGTGATTCCTCACGCTGGGATGTCACTTCCAGACAGGGCATTCCCAGCTGGAACCGGGATATTTAGTGAGGTTGGCATGAGGCTCAGTGTCCAGCTCATTCCCA